CTAGGCCCAGTATAACAGCGGTAAATGGAATGGAATGGTACAGGAGGGAACGCTTGTGAGATGGATGCTAAAATAAACGTATCACTTTATATTCCAAAATTTGTCTTATTCTTGTTCACAGCACAAATAATATATGAGATTCTACATTTCATATATATATATATATATATATATATGATGTACTAGCTTTTGTCCGAAATAAATAGATTGGTGAAGAATCATAGATGTAATCGTAGCTTAAATTATCGGACGATAAGTTTAAAAAACAGGATCCATTTATTATTATTCAGGAGAAATAGCAGTTGCAAAATCAGATATCCGGAGTAATAAAAAGAATACTAATAACTTTTTGCATGAAGTTTACTGCATCGTGACATTTAAGAAAAAGCCCCGATATTCTTTTGCGAGTCCTTTTATAGCCTCTGGAAAGGCGGAGCTTCCAAGAAATGACGTCAGCCTCGTCAGCCAATCCAGTTCGCTTTAAATATTTCCAGAACATTCTAAAACTGTACGTGTGAGAAAAGGTAGGAAAAACAACTTGACTACGGGGCTGTGGATTTAATTCCACGTACTTTGAAATAAGAGAACGTCGCCATTAAAAATGAAAAGAACATACAGTTAGAATTTTAAGTGTATTCTTGACTATGGAATTTTATTATTACATATATATATATATATATATATATTTCATATTATAATATATTTTCATTGAAATATGATAACTCGAAATTCTTCCTTATTTCGTAGATGGAATTAAAACGTCAGCCGACAATATAGAAATGTGTGCTTTTATTCTGCAAAAATGATTGGGAAAATCGTCATTCTGAATACAACTCACGCGCAACCCAAATAAATTACACAGAGAAAAGGATTTCAGTGACTATTATTTACCTTAGCCATCTGAGTAACAAGAAAAGTAGAAACTTAACTGACGTATAATCGATAAAAATTTCAGAATTGTCATTAAGTCGTGACGTCAAATTCTTTCAAGCATGTCAGCAATTTAAAGTTTTTAAAACAGTGAGTAATAGGAAATATTTAATTTTTATTGAGAACTGGTATCTAAGCAATCTTCAGCACTTATTTAAATAACAGTCGTCACTCATGCTTTTCCTTCTTCCGTTAAATGGTGACTAACGAGACTGTAGGCAATGACGTCTCGAAACGTTTACTTTCACTGGTAAGAATAATAAAACAATTCAATGCAAAACTAATAAAATGTTTTAATTTATATCTTACGAAAGATAAGATAGCTGCAAATTTCGTCTTCGCAAATGATACTAAATGCCTTTATAACTTCTTTTCTGCATTTGATCTTCAGAAATATTTACGCTTTAAATGTTATTTTCTACGTTTATGGAAAAGGATATTGGGAGGGGGAGGAATATGAGTAACGTCAGAGGAGAAGGGCGAATAAAAAGGACAAAATTGAAATACGAAAGGGCTCACGCTGTTGCATCAGCTCATTTTCTACGCTGTTGCATCAGTTCTGCTTCAGCGCGTCAGGGGCGTGGTTAGTGACGTCACACAGGGGGCGGGGCAGGTGCAACATGCAACGTCATGAATGACATCACACCAGGGGGCGTAGTCATGAGTTAAGATGAGTTGTTTTTAGGCTGATAGTTGAGTTGTAGACCTCCTGCTTTTCATTTAACGTTAATTTTTTTTAATTGGCAACGGGACATATTTTCTGCATCAGTTTGAGGGTTCGATCTTATATTTTGAATAATAGAACATTTTTTTAAAAAAAACTTCTAAATAGGTTATTTTCTTTTTTCGTCCCTAGAGGACGCCAGGAGCATTTGTATCCCCGTCGCCAATTTAAAAAAACTAACTTTAAATGAAAAGCAAGAAGTCTACAACTGAACCAGCAGCTTAAAACAACTCAACTAAACTCGTGACTACGTCCTCTGGTGTGATGTCATTGATGACGTTTCACGATGCAGCTACCACCCCCGTGTGACGTCATTGGCCACGCCCCTGACCCGCTGATGCAGAACTCTCATTATTATACTACTCGCGGTCTACCAGTCTGCTGATGCACACACTCCTACTAACTTTCTCCCCCCCTTTTTTGTCTTTTTAGCTTTATTACTAAGCATCATTTTCTTCGCACTTACGCCATATGCAAAATGAACAAAACAAACAACAGCAAAATTACAAAAAAATTTAAAAGCCGCCTGTGTTTAGAGTTCCCGATGAAGTGTTCAGTATATATATTTGTAATAATGAAATTCCATAGTCAAGAATACACTTAAAATTCTAACTGTATGTTCTTTTTATTTTTAATGGCGACGGTCTCTTATTGAAAGACGTGGAATTAAATCCCAGCCCCGTAGTCAAGTTGTTTTTCCGCCTTTTCTACACGTACAGTTATAGAATGTTCTGGAAAATTTAAAGCGAATGGGTTGGCTGACGTGGCTGACGTCATTCTTGGAAGCTCCGCCTTTCCAGAGGCTATGAAAGGACTCGCAAAAGAATATCGGGGGGCTTTTTCTTAAATGTCACGAGCAGTAAACTTCATACAAAAAGTTATTAGTAATTTTTATTACTCCAGATATCTGCTTTTGTAACTGCTATTTTCCTGAAAATAATAATGGATCCTGTTTTTTTTTTAAATTATCGTCTGATAATTTAAGCTACGACTAAAGCTGGTACATTACACATATATATATATATATTTTAGTTTTTTTGTCGGTTTATCATATCAACGTACATTTCCTTAGTAAGCTGCTTCGCAAAGCTTTTTTTTATCTTTTTATTATTAACGTTCTGTGTATCAAATTTATTAATTAAATATCACGTTCTTCACACTTACACCACATAAAGTTCAGTAGAATAGCAAGGTCACAAAATATTTAAAAACAGATCTTTAGAATTTCCGATATACAGTCTCGTGCACTGGAAATAATGTTTTAATCCTTACGGTGTTGCGAGTGATTCAGACATTTAAAGTGCCACGCCGCCATATCCCGTTTCGAGATGAGGAAGATTTTAGCTCAGTATTTTTGGATGCATCGGTAGTATTAAATTCTTAGATTTCAGGAAAGAAAAGCTAAAGTTAAAATTTTAAAGGAATGAGAAAGCTATTTCCAGTTTTTTCTACCGGACTGTAATAATATTATAAAACTTTATTCTTTCCGCTATGCGAATTCTTAAATAAGTTATCTGAGAGAATTAATTCGTTCGTAAAACTAGTAATTATCATAAAGTAACAGAACACCATAATTTTTAAATGTACGTTTTTAATAAAATTTTAAACCTAAAAACACGATTTTTAGATTTAAACTTTTTATTTTAGGGAATTTACTAATTTATTGATACCGAACCGATGACGTGCTTTAAATCTGTAATTTTAGAAATTTAAGGGGCCTCATACACCTTAAACCCCTCCTGATCTTCCAATACGTGACTGTTGTAAGAATTGGGATATTTTATTTATTTTACAAGCAATTATTTCCAACTTTTTACAGCTGACTACATAATATAGCTGCTTTTGGGAACTAGTAACCAGAAAGTTTGTGTTGCCACAAATATTTTTGTAGATTAATCCGCTTTGTGACAAAATTTTTCTTCATGTTTCAACCCTGCGCGCATGATATTTTAAAAATGGCTAATGGTACATACTTGAAATTGGATGGAGTTCTTTATACGGGCCCTATCTTCTAACTGAACCAAAAATCTGATGAATATTTTAATATTAAAAAATTTTATGCACGAAAACATCACAGATTTTTTTAATAAAGTACATTTTATAATCTCAACTCCAAATAAAATAAAAATTTAACATGAAATTCTTAGAAATTTTGGTTCACAGTCGTTTCCAAATGGTATAAAACCTACATATTAAATATGGAAATTATTATGCAACAGAATGTTTTAAACTGTGCGCGCAAGGTGGAAACAGGACGAAACATTTTGTCACAAAACGGATTAAATTATAAAAATATTTGTGACAACACAAACTTTCGGATTACTATTTCAGAACACAGCTATATTATGTAGTCAGCTGTAAAAAGTTTTAAGTAATTGCTTTTAAAATAAATAAGTTAACCCTATTCTTGCAACAGTCACATATTCGAAGATCTTATGGGTTTTAAGGTGTATGAGTCCCCTTAAATATGCGATTGCTTCTTTTAAAATAATGACTTTAATTTTGAGAAGAAAATTGCTATCAATTAAGAGACCCGTTAAAAACTGAATTATGTTCATTTTGCTTCTATTGCGTCTATCTACTTCACAGATATAAAGCCAGACAACAAATATGGTAAAGAAGACTAAACCTTCGGAGATAGCCTTCTGAATAACTCAAACTATCGAGTTGTCCGAAAAATAATGCAGGTTTTTGACATTGTTTATCTTTCCTGTACATTTTTAGCAACAAAAATATTTTGAATTATATTGGTTATCTTTCTTGTACATTTTTAGCAACAAAAATATTTTGAATTATATTGGTTATCTTTCTTGTAAATTTTTAGCAAGAAAAATATTTTGAATTACATTGGTTATCTTTCTTGTACATTTTTAGCAAGAAAAATATTTTGAATTACATTGGTTATCTTTCTTGTACATTTTTAGTAACAAAAATATTTTGAATTACATTGGTTATCTTTCTTGTAAATTTTTAGCAACAAAAATATTTTGAATTATATTGGTTATCTTTCTTGTACATTTTTAGCAACAAAAAAATTTTGAATTACATTGGTTATCTTTCTTGTACATTTTTAGCAACAAAAATATTTTGAATTACATTGGTTATCTTTCTTGACATTTTAGAACAAAAAATATTTGAATTACATTGGTTATCTTTCTTGTACATTTTTAGCAACAAAAATATTTTGAAGTGCATTGATTTATATATCATTTTGAAGCTTTATTTTCGCTCTATATTTCTATAGCAATCATTTTGTTCCGAAATTGCTTAAAATATTTACTAGGTGTTTTTGATTAGATATCAAAAAGGCATTTTCGGTAAATTTACTTTTATGAGTACAAGCTAGGCAACAGCGCAGCACAAACAGCTCGAAATGTCAACGAAGTATGGGGCAAGAAAAGTGTTAATGAATCTACAATTCAACGGTGGTACCAAAAGTTTCGACATGGAGAATTGGACCTGGAAGATCAAGAGAGTCGTGAACGCTCTTCAGCTGTTGATGACAACGATTTGAAGACTTTAATTGAAACAAGCCCGTGCACATCTGTTCGAAAGCTTGCGGAGGAGCTTGGCTTAAGCAAAACAGCGATTTCTGATCACTTGAATCGTATAGAAAAGTCAAAGAAGCTCGATAAGTGGGTGTCTGAAGAATTGAGCGAAAGCAAAAAAAAAAAAAAAAAAAAAAAAAAATGACTGTTATTGAAGTGTTGTCTGCTGTTCTCCGCAATAAAAACGACCCTTTTCTTGATCGAATTGTTACGTGCGATAAAAAGTGGATTCTCTATAACAACCGGCGACATTCGGCTCAGTGGTTGGACCGCGGTCAGACACCACAACACTTTCCAAAGCCAAATTCGCACGAAAAGAAAATTGTGGTGACTGTTTGGTGGTCTGCGGCCGGTCTCATCCACCACAGCTTCCTAAATCTGGGCGGAACGATTACCGCAGATAAGTACTGTCAGCAAATCGACGAAATGCACCAAAAATTGCAACGCATGTGCCCGGTGTTGGTCAACAGAAAGGGGCCAGTTCTTCTCCACGACAATACTCGGTCGCACGTCGTGTAACTGATCCTACAGAAATTGAACGAATTGGGATACGAGACTTTCCCTCTTCCCCCCCCCCATATTCGCCTGACCTCTCGCCGATATTATCTATAAGATCTTATATCTTTCTTATAAATAAGACCGTCTTATAAACAAGACCGTGGCATGATTACAAGATTATGCAGTAGTACAATAAAATACTTCATTATAAAAACTGTAACACAATACAAATGGGGATATTTACTAATATTAGCTTAATAGGTTCAATAATATACAAACGTTAATATAGTTGTCAAATATAATACACTGAATGCAGCTCTTACTTGTAACATGATGATTTGGCAAAACAGTGTGGAAGTACAGTTGACAGTTGACAGCAGAATCTAGACAACCGTGGGGCTTACTTAGACTATTCGGGTCTAGTCCAGGTTCCGCAACAATCCGGGACAACACCTCATGGGCTTTATAAGGGCATACATTGATCCTGTATACATGCTTACATAGTTCATAATATATGCTTATAGTTACATAGTTCATAATATATGCTTACATAGTTACATAGTTCACAGTACATGCTTATATACAAGTACTTCATAATACATAGATCTTTCATAATACGTGCTTACATAGTTCATACATATACATGCTTATATAGTTCATAATATATTGAGCTTGTTACATAATACATACATAGTTCATAATAATTTTCATTGGCCATAATACATACATGTTTCATAATATATACAGTGGGCCGTAATACATACATATTTCAAAAAAGATAACGTTGTACAGAAGAAATGCTTCAGAAACCAAGACGAGGCCCAAAACGCCTTGAACAACTTTATCGCGTCCAGAAATCCAGAATTTATTCTACCGGCATAAATAAACTTATATCTCGTTGGCAAAAATGCATTGATTCGGCTGGTGCTTAGTTTGATTAACAAAATTGTTTTTGAGTTATGATACTTTAAAGATGTAGGTGAAGAAACCAGCATTATTTTCGGACAACCTAATGGATTCACCTTCACTTTCACTCTAGTAACAATCATGATGTATCCTTACAACGTAATTGTAAGCAGCGCTTTATCCAACTCAATCTTCTAGCTACGTGGTGTAGAAATAGTGATGAATCTTGTTTTTAATAAAACGTGCTGGCATACATTTATTTCCTTATAATTCCATGAAACATCTTAAGACTATGAAAATAAGCTCTGTAACTGATACCAAATTTTATTATGTCGATTTTCGGATATTCTTTCACAATTTAAAAGCTGTTGAAGTGCAGCTAAGCCTGATGAATTTTGCGATGGCGGACATGTTTGCTTACACTTTAAAACTTAGCAAAATAGCGGATTTGTTGCCAATCTAGAGACACTAAGCTTCGCAACAACAAAGATAACGCCTTCTTTTATTATTGCGGATTAAATCATGTTTAATCCATTCTGAAATTCATTCGAGGAAATAAGTGTTTAAGATTTACTTCGTAATTTTTAATATAGATATTTTGAGTTTTTATGTATTTTTATCTTGTCGGGAAGTGCGAACTGAATTAATTGAATGGGAAATACTGAATCGTCTGTGAAAAGCTGTTTCTTTTTTGTTTTGTTTTGTTTGCTTAATTTCTTTTATACAGCGTTCTAGATTTATTATAGTATTTGAATAGAACATGTGGCAACGATTAGATAATTCTTGAAATGATACAAATTTTGTGCATTCTGAGTTATAATATGAACGAAATATAATTATGTTAAGTGAACCTAGCGCCAGAGTGTCGCTATGGTAAACAAATATAGTGAATTTCAAAGAGTGCATTTATTCTGTTGTTCTTTATGCACTATCGACGAAGTAGATTTAATTCAATCTAATAAGTTTAAATGAAATGCAAGAAAAAATGCATACAATTTAATATTCCGTACAAGGAAGTCATGTGGTGTACACATCACCATATTGCAACAAAGGTAGTCATTATATGAAATAATTAAGATAGAATTTCCTTTTCACCGGGAGCTATGGCGAAGCAGACAAACTGCGTAAAATAGGAGTACTATACGTTCATCTGCATCTTTAGGAATCGGAATGTTTTGGAAATATCAAAAGTGTTGTAAAAATTATTTCTGGATAAACTTGCAGTTTTAAAATATGCAAGTGAGTGACGTATCTCTGTCGAAGCAAACGATTATTATCATTTGGATACATCAAAGAAACGTGCTGGCAATTTTGTGATCAAGAGATTTTGCTCCTTCTTAAAATTAGAGACACAAATAAAAAACAAAAATCTGAAATATTGGGTAACTCAGTAGTAATACGTAAAATACATAGTTCATACTAACTATATATAATATAGTGTAGTTCATACTAAATTTGCTCTCGAATTCAGAAAAAAAAATAGTAATAATAAAAAAAATTATTTTCTTCTTTCAGGGGATTTCATCGCAGTCATTTATACCTCTCTTGGGAGAACCCATCTATGTGTGTGAAAGCCTACAAGTATGGTCTTCTAGCTCCTGTGCAAAAAGCAGCGTGTAAGAGAAATTTAGCCCTCATGCCAGTAGTAGTGGCAACTTCTCGTCGAGTTTCAGAAACTTGCCAAGAAACGTTCCAAAGGCATCGATGGAATTGCTCTTCGATAGATTTGGCGCCAAAATTCGCACAAGATATCGTAAGAGGTAAGACACAGCTTAATAATAATATATAAAAACAAAATAATTCTACTCTGAAGTACGTAATACAGAGGCTGTTCGCACATTTTTTAGACAATTTTGGTACGCGGTAATAAAAAATCGTTTGCTTTTTCATGTTTCCTAAGAAAGCATTTTTAAAAAATCTGATGTGTACACCACATGACTTCTTTGTACGGAATATTAAATTATACGCATTTTTTCTTGCATTTCATTTAAACATATTGGATTGAATAAAATCTACTTAGCCGACAGCGCATAAACCACAATAGAATAAATTCATTCTTTAAAATTCACTCTAGTATTTGTTTACCATAGCGACACTCTGGCGCTAGGTTCCCTTAACAGTATTATATTTCATTATTCATATTATAACTCAGAATGCACAAAATTTATATCATTTAAAGAATTATCTAATCGTTGCCACATATTCTATTCAAATACTATAATAAAGCAAGAACGATGTATAAAAGAAATTAAGCAAGCAAAACAAAAAAGAAACTTTTCGAAGACGATTGAGTATTCCTCCTTCAATTAATTCAGTTCTCACTTCGCGACAAGGCAAAAATACATAAAAGCTCAAAATATCTGTATTAAAAATTACGAATTAAATCTTAAATACTTATTTCCTCGAAAAAATTCCAGAAAGGATTAAGCATGATTTAATTGGCAATAATAAATGAAGGCGTTATCTTTGTTGTTGGGAAGCTTAGTTTCTCTAGATTGGCAACAAATCCACTATTCTGCTGTTTCAGATGTAAACAAATATGTCCGGCATGTTATTTAAAACTTAACCGCACTTAAACAGCTTTTAAATTGTCGATAATTGTACAAATATTGCTTCCAGAATTTACGAAAGGCATAAAAACCTTAACCGGAAGATAAAAACAACATAATTCAATCATTTTTAAAGCATAAAATGTACAATTTACAAACATATAAAAGTAAAGAAACTGAGATCACTGAGCCGGGTAGCAGAGGGGATATATATATAAATATATTTATATACGTTTGGTGCGGCCGATTGCAACCAAAATACGAGGTGCACAACTACATGTTATAGCAGTTCCTATATACAAAGTTTTAACGTTCTGCGGCTACTCATTTTTGAGTTATGCGAGATACTTACGTACGTACGTACGTTTGTACATACGTTCGTACAGACGCCACGAAAAATTCTCTTCAGAATTCATTTTAAAGCAGTTTTATAATTTTTTGGAGGAAAAGAGTCTTTTATTCTGTCCTTACATACAGATATCACGCAAAAACATCGTTAAATTGCATTCGATAGCGGTCAAAATGGATATGAAATATGCTGCCTGAAACATTTCGCGATTACAGTACTTCCTTTTTACTTCGTACAAGGAAATAAAAACGAGAAAATTAAAATTAGCAACATTAGCAGAAAACATGTTACTTGGTACAAGAATTACGTAAACATTATATTTTATTCCCAGTGACAAGTTTATGAAGCTCATAGAAAAACATAAATGAACCTAAAAAGAAAGATGGAATACTTATATTATATAAAATAAAATATAATAAAAAGGGTATAAAAAACCTGCTAATTTGGTACCATTTGATAATCATTGTGTCCGCGTCCCTGATATTTAATCGATAAGTAATATGTCAGCAAGCCGTTATCGATACTTCAATCATTATCAACAGGATCCTTGTAAAAGCTATTACTTATCATTCACAGTTTAGGGGAAAGCAATGAATACTGACACGAATTTTTTAATTTTTCTGCCTTTCATCTTTCTTCTTCAGATACAACTCAAGCATTTAAAACTGCGAGAAATATATACGTGAACACTGAGTTTTTACTTCCTCGTACGAAATGATACTGCAAGCACGAAAAATTTCGAGTATCATATTTCAAAGAAAATATTCTTTTTGATCGTTTTCGAATCCATATGAACGATGTTTTTGCGTGATATCTGTACGTTACGGACAGAACTTGACGTATGTGCCAGTGTTGCCAGATCGTGCGAATTTTACGCAAATTTGCGACTTTGTATAAACTTGTGCTACTAAAATTTTAGTATTTGCGAAATTTTTGCGACCTTCATCATTTTTTTTTTTATGCTGCTCTTTTTTTTTTTTTTTTTTTTTTTTTTTTTTTTTTGCAGGTTTGCTTAAAAATACGTCTACTTTAAGATGATTGTAAAAATTTTATAGCTTATAATTCAAAATTTTTTTTCGAAAAATTTAGAAAAATTGTTTTAAAATACAAATTTTAAAAATAAATCTTAAGAAATGGGTGAATTTTATTTGAAATGAACCTAATTTTCGAACTGTGTAAGAAGGAATCAAATAAGTTTAATAAAAAAAAACAGAGATATTAATGAATACATACCAAATTTAATTAACATTGAGGAGCTAAAATTTTAAGAGCTAATTTTTTAAAAAATACTACTGCGATTTTTACAAAACCTGGTAGTTTGTCGTAATTTGAGTCGCAGAAGCGAAATATGGAAAAAAAATTGGCATGTCATTTTAGAAAAAGTTCGATTTTGTGTCAAAATACCTATATTAGAACAATGCTATATATAAATGTAATACATATCCTAAGTCGCGCTTTCGAGACATGAAAAACGCAAGTTGAATTTCGTCAGTCGTCAATCGGCATAACCCAGTAGAACTTCCCCCTCTTTTTTTTTTTCCAGTGTGCATAGGCTGAGTCAGGAAAGTGTTTTTCTTGTTATTCATAACCGCACAGTACAATAAAATTGCTCATGTATTTTTCGAATTTTTGCGGTCATAATTCAGTTCCTTGCTTATTGTTAATTATTTTAAGTTTTGTGGCATTTATATTAAATTAAAAATGTTAAGAAATTAGTCGAAGACAAAGACATTGCTTCTTTTTTGTCGTAAATCATTAGATTTTATCTTTTACCATCTAATTTATTACAGATTTATTTAATTATATTTTAACATTTTTTACTAAAAGAGGAAAATATTGCAATATGTAAGGATTATGTTAATTTTATTAACACTTAAATTTTAAGTTAAAGTTCCTTTGTCAAAATCTTAACTTCAACTCACTACTTCCGGCTAGAACATAGTTTTGGAATTTTGCTGAATATTTAATGAGGAGGAGCGGTAATTAAACCACGAAGTTACTTACTGAATCAGAGAGAATCGGAGTTTCTGATTTACGCGCGTCTGCCTTTTTGGGCACTCTCTCTCTCAAAGCTGTTATTACGCTCGGCCGTACTCAGCCCCTTGCTAAGCTTCGTAGTCAAATAAGCTAAGGGGCCAACTCGATTTGAACCTTTATAGCTTCAGCTATATTTCTTTAGTTAATCTTAGTTTTAGTTTAATTCTTAGTCTTTTAAGTTCAAGCCTTTTAAGTGCGGGCTTTGTTTGTACACTCCCAGGCGGAGTTTTGTTAAATCTTATTGAAATAATAAAGGGTTAGTTACCCTTGTCTTGTTGTTTCTTGTCACCGAACTTAAGCGATTATTCGCTTATCAGTTCTTAGATTCTTCACTTCCAACATTAACTTAGAATTACAAAGTGAGGAAACTACAAGTTTTTTAATGTATTTTCGGAAGATGATAGAATATTATGCTCAATATATACACAGTATTTCATCCTATTCTCAATTACCGTCTTCGGCTAAGCATGGAAAGGAAGTTGGTCTTATTTTATATGAGTTATTGATGTCAAATAAATTTATTCGATTTAAAAAATTGAGAGTGAAGTTCTTTTAGCATAAAATATTCATGCCATCAAACCATCCTTCATCATCATGCTATCATCTCGAGAGGAAGAGTTAACTTTTGAATGGACCAAACTGTTATTATGCAAAAATATTGCCAGTTTTGAAATGCAGTTGAACATAAAATAAAATGTGAATTTATGCAATAGAAAATCACATTTTTTCTTCAAGTTATGTATCCTAACACTGATTTTTGGATAATGCATTACTCGTTGAACTCTTTCTTTTTAGGAAAAGGGAAGCATCGAATAAAGAAAAGAAAAAAAAAAAAAAAAAACCTCGAAAATGGCAATATACAAAAATATAATATAAAAACAGATTTTTCAAAATCTTTTGAGAAAAATATTTATTTAGACACTTTACTGCAGCTCGCCACAATAAAATGAAATTATAGACAAATATTGCTTTAAAAAATATTCCAAGTACAGGAAATCAATATATGTTTTTGAGAGCGTCTCAGATTCTGAACCAAAATAATTCAAGAAACAATAACCAGGAAAAATCCTTGAAAATATGAGCGTTTGAAGAGACCTCAAAAAGAAATCTAGCAGCAATCAACAATTTTTTTCAGGTACTTTGCTAATAAGACATAATAAAACATCAATAGATTACCGCGTTTAATTCTACGTTCCGATGCGCAAGCTGTCATTCCAGAAATACAACCCATCATTCAACTGAAGAAGTTTATTAAAGCTTGGAAAGAAATTTGTATTTATCCACTTAGGTATTTATAACACTGAATCTTCCTTTCTTTTTAATTTGAAAGTGACGTGCAGCTTCTAATCATTTTCGCAATGAGCTATCGATCATTTTCATAGTGAGTTAGCTGCTGGAAAGTTATCAAGGTTACGATTCTTTTTACGTTAGTTAAAAAGAAAATTACGGGCGAAAATAACAACTGAATTTTCTATTAGTTCGATTATCATTTTCAAATACATCTTAAACCCGTCAACTTTTATCACTTTCTTAATTTATTAAAGATTCTAAATTCGAGCTCTAACTTTAATGCGCAGTTATTTAAACTGAGAAGGGGTTTAACCTCTTCATCGTCCGTAACGCGCCTCAAGCGTTCTTCTACATTTTAAAACTTTTAAACGTTTAAAACGCTTTCTAAATGTTTACTTTTTGAGTTTTTTTATTTTTGTTTGTTCTAGAGGGCAGCACTTATCAGGCATTCTATTTCTAATTGAATTTGCCCCGGGTTTTATGAAGATTCGCGCCATTTTACGTAAGACAGTAAGAGATGGCTTCAACGTATACT